ATGCTGCTGCCCTGTTACTTAGGTGCTTGAGGCATTTGCTGTCCACTTGGACTTCTGCAGCACCTCTGGAATCACTGGAATTGCAGAGGTGAATCTGAAAGCAGATTTGGACAAAAGCTTTTTTTCTTACGGACATGTATAACAATGTTTTCTACTTGATCTTCAGGTTTTAGATGCCCATCCATTAATTTTGCTTGGTGTTCAAGAAATTCATATGCCTTCTAGAATACAAGCAGCACATTATTCTTAGCAGACTGTTTTGTATATCGTGAAATTTTTTTTTTTTTTTTTTTAATTTGAAATGCAGAATGAAGTTCCTGGTTCGTCGATGGCACAGAGTTACGGGTTCTGGTATCCTAAGTATCAATAGGGATGTCTTTAGCCAGAACACAGGTAAATCCTAATTCAGTAATGACTGAAAAAATGGTATTCACAAGTCACACCACTGCTTAATGGAGATGGTTTTCAATTTGTGTTTTCCTCATGTGGAATGAATGAGGTGCTGTTCCTCCTTCCTTTTGCTGTAATTGCTTGGATTAACCTATTTCTCAGGTTTCTGAGAGTTTCCATGCTCAGCACAGACACTAATCTATTTGCTGTCTCTTTGATCTTGTTTTGCTCCATTGTGGGTGGGATTTTAAAAAATATAGCAACTTTCCCTATGGAGTGTGTTTGTGAAAGCAATTCTAGCTGCATCATTGGGTTTCTCTTAAGAGATCTGCACCCCCAGCTCTGAGAGGGGGTGCTGAGGTCAGGGACGGACAAAGGAATCATTGCAACTGCAGGTCCCCCACACTGGCGACAGAGCCTGTTGACCAGCCCTCCCTGGTCTTTTGCTCAGAATGAAAACATTTCATTCTTTTGTTATAGCTTAAAGTTTGGGAAATCTGGTTTTCTGTTTGCTTTTTGGGAGGAGCCTAAGGACAATCAGAAGCTTTTTTATTAATTGCTGACTATCTAGGTCTGCACTAAACCCCTGTTCTGTTCAGTCTGTAAGAGTTTTCTCACTGACATCAGTGAGGCTACGGTTTCACCTCTGGTTTTCTCTGAAACAGTCTGAAAGGGGTCTACATTTGTTAAACATTGTTTTTGTGATAAGCAAACAGAAAAATTGCATTTGCAATTCCCAGTAAAGGGCAAAAGGTTTTCGTTTTCAAGACATTGCTTTTTGTATTTCTAGGTAATGAGTTACGGCCTGATTCATTCTCTGGTGGCATGGATCTTTATGGAGAACAAAGGCATTCCTATAGATCCAGGTCAGACATGGAGTCTCCTAGATCTCCTGTAAACTTTCAACATAAGTACGTTTTATTTTAGATTTATTTTAGAACACTGTTCAACGAAATGAATGCATCAGTGCTTACTGCTAAGGTTTGTAATCTCTGATGCTATAAGATTTTTACTTTTTTTGTAAGGATACATAAAAAATTTCATCTCAGGTCTTCAGTGTGTGTTTGCTCACCACCTGGTCAAGGCCAAAGCTTGCAGACTTCTGCTGTCTGATTTATGTCATGTTCTTGGAACCGGTGGCAGATGAATGGATGGAGCTACGTTTACCTACCTCTGTAGCGTCTAGGCTTTGTGACTAAGCAAACCTCTGCTGCTTGTCCACCTTTCTGGTGGGCAGCTGGGTGTGGTGGGAGGGGCTGCCCAGGTTGCCCTCCGCTGAAGGAAGGGAAGAGCAGGGCCAGGGAAAAGTGGGGCCACTTGCTGGGGCTGGGGAGAGTCATCTGGCTACTGGGGGCTGGGAGGTATTTCCGCAGCCTTGTGGCTGGAAGCCGCTTGGTAGCTCTGCTACTTGTTCTTGATTAAACCCTTTGGGTGGCTGTAGTAAGCTGTGATACCAGAGGTATCAGTGAATCAGATGCCAATGAAAACAGGTATTTTTCACCAAAGGCATGTTTTTTCAGAGTGCCATCCACCTTTAATGACTTCATAGAGAGTTGTGGTCTCTGAGCTTTACTGAATATCAGATTCTTGCCATTTTGGATCTTTGTTTTTATATAAAGCATCTCAACATTTGTAAGCTTAGTTTGTGGCAACCATAACAGCTTACATGGAAAAGATGTTTAATCTATTTTAGCCACTTTTACTTATAGAGAGTAACAAAGAGAGACAGAATCCTGTAAAGATGGCCATGTCCTTGTTCCCACAAGCTTAGTAGAAAAGCAGACTTGAATCTACCACGGCTTCTGTGGCAGTCTCAGTAGGAATTTGCTGGTCAGTCTTTGTCCCCAAAAAATGCAGCAATAAATCAGGTGCAGTAGAAACCAAGGGCAACTGGGAAAAGTGGTGTCTCTGGGGCCTGCAGTATGATGGCTTGGGCAGTAAATGGCAGAGAGGTTAATTGGGTATGATGTGCTGGCTGCCACAAGGGCAAGTCAGGAGACATGCAGTCAGTAAGGCATCCCTACTTACTTTATTTTGCTGTGTCCTCCAATACTTTCAGTTTATTTGAAATTTTACTTTTTAAAAACATCTGTGTTCTTTTGCCCCTAGGTTCCACGGTGTGCACGCCGATTTAAACCCAGTCTCCTTCGCCTGTTCTCAACTGCAGAACTATGATCCCGAAAGAGCTCTAACCGATTACATCCATCGACTGGAGACACTACAGAGGCGACTTGGCAGTGTGCAGTCCGGTAAGGGCTCGGGCAGTCCTCCTCATGACTCCTGGGCAGCACAAGGCACAGTTCCAAGTCAGAAAGTGCGTGCTGGTTCTCCGAGATGTATAACAAACATCACTGATTTTAGGCATTTTCAGCCCTAAACAAGAGGCTATTCTGAGCTGTAGCAAAAACCTTATTTAAAAGAACATTGTAAAGTTCTTTGCAGGGAGACATACAAGTGTGCTTTAATTACAGATTCTGAGTTTATTGGTAACACTTTAACTTTCCCTGATTTCTAATAAATGTGCAGCAAGGATTCAGTTGGCATCTTATTAAGACTTTAAGCTAGATGAAGAAAAATGTACCCAGAAGATTGGGGTGTGGGAGTACAAGGGGAATTTCTTCTCCTACCACTTTTATTAGAGAAGTTACAGCCTTTTTGTCCCATAGGTGATGGTGATTTTTGTGCTACCGAAGGAATACATCAAGAACCTTGTCAGAGCAATGGGACTTAATTTATCAAACTTGATGTGGGGATGATTTTTGCTGTTACTGTGTTAGTCTTACTTCCTCAAATGGGTGGATTTTATGTTGAAGTTTTGTCCTTAAAAGATTTCCCATGTAAAGTCTTTCACGATTCTTCAGCAGAATAACACATCATTGGTGAATTCTCACCTTCTCATTCCCAGTAACCTTGATGAAATTCTCCATCTTACAGGTTCGACTTCATACACTCAGTTGCACGTGGGTATGAGAAGATAATGATACCCTTCCAACACCGCCGTCATGGGCAGCAAGGGTAATGGATTGCCTTCGGTAAATCTGTGCTCTTTCTGTGCTTTTGTATAATGTGTATATTGTGGGACCAATATGAACCAGCTATACAATGGTTTACAGTTCCATCCTGGCACACCCATGCAGACTGGGGTTTATGTATATAGGCATTTTGTGTTCATGAAAAAAAAAAGACAAAAACAAACACATCCCTCCACCATTAAATTACATGTATATTTGTGGAATGCTAATTTAAATGATTAACTTATGAAGTGTGTATTTATCAAAAGGGTGATCAAACTTGTGTATTAATGAAATCAAGCTACATCCGGCAACATTTACTTGCACTTTTTCTGGCAAGGCTACTGAAGTTACACAACTCGTAATATTTGCTACTGGCAGCGCAGACAGAAAATATCACTAGTAGAGACCTATTTTTGTAATGGTAGAAGTTTTGAATTTTATGGGTATTTTGTCGAAGTACTGAAATAAAGACGACTTCATGCTTTTAAGTGTTCAACTGCTCCCTTACTTGCATGGAAAAGGTTGCTCCTACCTGCACCCCTCCTACTTGTGGTGCTGCAGCTTTACTGTTTAGATTCCAAAACACTGCTACTACAGAGAGGACAGGTCCAGGCTCGGTTTCTGAAGACCCTGGTCATATCTTGGGCGGCTGGAAGATACTGCACTCCCCCCACTGCTGTGACCGATACAAAGACAAGGTTTTATAACAGCTCCACCCCCATTTAGAACAAGGAAGATGGGGCAAAGCCCTGTGGAAGCTCTCTGCGTGACCAACTTCATATGTACAAGAAAGAAAGGAGGGAGTTTATTACAAATTCCCTTAGAAAAGCTCTTCAGAATTGACGGGGTTGAGCACAGAAAATTTGCACGGGAGGTTTGTTTGCAAATTTAATTCAAAGGTCCTGTGAGCCAGAGCTCATTACTGTTTATCACCACTCTTGAACCAAACACCATTTAACAGTCCTGCATGAGTCAGTACAAAGGGGGACAACGTTCAGCTATTTCACTTTATAAAATGGTCACAAATTCACAAACATGTTATTTACAAAATGAATGCTGTTTATATCATCATATTGTTACTTTCACACTTCTATCAGGCTTCCAGAGTTTTTTAGAAAATTACTTGCTGCTTTCTGAACTTAAGCATTTTACAACTGCTTCAAGTTAGACATTTAAATCATTTATTCTCAGAAAAGGCTTCTCTGGGAACATTGTGTAGCTTGCCTACTGCTCAGCTGTACAGTAACATGTTTTTAAAGAAGCATGTGGGCACTTCCAAGAATCGGCCAAGACCATACCTAGCTTGCTCAGAACAGAGTCACAGATGCCAAAGGTAGGGCATCACCAAGAACACTGGCCCTCAGTGCCTCGTCCCTGATGGATTTACTGTAGATGGATACAGAGGTAAGGTACGCAGCTCTTGTTACCTGGGGAAAAGTGATCTTCTGTTGTTTTTCAAAAGCAGCAAGTTCCATTCATAGAAATTACTTATTTCTTCCAAGAGTTGGCACGCACTTTGAAAGTGTTACACCAATAGAAAAGACACTTTTTCTTTAAAAATGCAATGAGAAATTTGGAGAACAAGCAATTATACACAGCAGCATTAAATGGTGTGGGCAAACAAAACAGATGCAAAGACTTTGCATTTGGTAGATTGTTGCATTCCTAACAGTAGGTACAACAGTTTCCATTTGCCACTCATTTTGTCACAATTTCATTCAAAAGTCTGTTAGTTTACACAACTTAAATAAGTAAGGTTTTAGCTCCAGAATTTACAGTGACCTCCTCTTATATCTGATAACAGGATTATTAGGTGTGTGTATCATTGTTGTATAATTTATAGTTGGAAAGTAGTCATTGACGAGATCAAATTCATACAAACGAAGCAAAGTAGACCAAATAGTCTTAATCTGAACATAAGCAAAGTTTTCTCCAATGCAGCGATGACGGCCTAGAAGGAAAGACATAAAAAGCAGTTAGAGAACACTTAGTTATTAAATCACCTTTGACAACAAGCTAACTTTAAAGATTTTATGCAGACCATAGTTGCTTCTTTCTAAACAATGTGGGGGTCTGTTGCTACACTACAGCTTTATGTAACTCCATCACAGTCTTGTTTAGATAAGCTGTCACTGCATAAAACAGACCAATTTGGATGAGATTGAGTTGTTCTGCCCTCACCATAAGGCAATGATTTGTGTATTGCCGGAGAAGCGTTTGCAACATTGAGAAAAGGCATCAACTGCAACCATGTATTGTGGTGATATCTGCAAACAGTTTCAGCAGTTATGACTCTATGCAGATTTTTGCTCTGCCTTAAGCTGACTTTGTATTACCAGGTTTTTACCTTGACTTAAAAAGGTTCGAGTCAAATATCACACGTGCTAATCCTAAAAATTTGTTTTGGTTGCCACTCCAAATGATACACAGCTACTACTAATGCAAAACTATCGACTTCATTCTTTTAACTGCACTTTCACAGTAAGAAAACTTTCAGGCAGCAATAGAAAGAAAAAAATATATCCTCAGATGCTGCACCGCAGGGAGGTGCTGTACGAGAGGCCCAGCATGAGCCACTTCAGCACACAAGCATGCAGGAAGGCTCTGCCTTTTCTTACTCACCAGCGCCAAACGGAACATACGCAAATTTCTCCCCAGCGGCTGGGTTATCTTGGAGATACCGGTCAGGCTGGAAGTCGAGAGCATCTTTCCAGGAGTCTCTGAGTCTGTGGTTAACAGTGGGAGAGACACAGACCTGATGGCCGGGGGGAATATTATATCCAGCAACAGTCTACAAAACAAGAGACAAGACCCCACACACATGACAGCAATTTATCCATTTTTCTTTTTAAAGTGTTACCTGAAGTGCCACATCATGAAGCTTGAATTTCAAAAGACATTTTTGGTTAAGCCCATTTAAAATTAATGCAGCCTAATACCTTATTGTTTTAATGGTACAGGGCACAATGTTCAAGTAGTTGCAGGAACCTTTCAGCTGCTTTAACAAAGCTGGCAGTTCTACAGGAGTTTTTAAAAAACAAATTAACTTAAAATTTGTTGATAGCATTTGTCATGGGAAGGACATTCTTTTTAAAAATTATTTGACTTTCTATCTTATTTGTACAAACAGAAAGTTTTCTTTCAGATTTACCTAGCTTGTATTGTATTAAATGCAAGCCACATTTTTCCAAGATAGATAGATATTAAAAATACCTGGCAAACAAAAAAAAACCCAGTCATCTTTAAATTGAGGAAGATTTAAGCTGAAAGTTGACCAATAGCTAAAAGAAAGGGTCAGTTTTGCAGAGTAAGACTGCAAGTGGCTGTTACTAGATCCTCTCAGAGCCTTCCCTTCTCCAGGCTCAACAAACCCTGTTCCCTCAGCCTCTCCCCCAGGAGAAGTGCTGCAGCCGCATGCCATCTTGGTGGCCCTCTGCTTGCTTCACCTCTTCAACATCCTGATTGCTGGGGGCCAGAGGGGTCCAGAACTGGACACAAATAATTCCAGATGAAGGTAACAACCATCACGTTCAAGGTATTTGCTTTCCTCAATCAACACTGGCTACGCTTCCACTGACAGAACCCAGGACGCCATCAGCTTTCATCCCTGCCAGCAAATGCTGGTCACTCGCCTTTTTCCTTCTGCCAACAGGAACAGTCCCCACCAGGCTGTTTCCAGCCCTGCTCTACTGACATGAAGTGAGCTCCAACCAGTGTACTCACCTGGGGAGTTTTGGCCATTCTCATCATGGTCATTATAGGAGGTCTAAGCCTTAAAGTTTCTTTTAGACAGCGATCCAGCAAACTGAGATCCTTGAGCTGAAAATACATAGAGAAAATGATATATCAAAATGTAGCCAAGTTTATTCAACACAATGGTATTTTGTACCATTTAAAAACAAATTTTAAAAAATAATCAGAGTAAGCAGCTCATATTTACATGTACTTCATTAGCTACCCTAATAAATTTTTTTTCCATTTGATTCAAACGAGAAGGAAAAAAATCTCTGACCAGTGCAATCAGTTACATCTAGTTTCTTACTAATCTGTCTCATGAGTGTTTTCTGATGCCTAATTAAAGAACAAGGTCACACTGCATCCCTTTCCTCCTCTACAGGAGGATCTTCCTCCTCTACAGAACTATCATTTCTTAAATAGAAATTATAGGAATTGTAATTTCCTTAATCAACACTGATTAAAAGAACAGTAGCAAGCTGAAAATTTACTTGGAGAGAAGATATATTGGCAAAGAGTGTTATCACAGAGTGACTGTGCCACATTATTATCCTAGCACAAAGCATATGACTATATTTCACATTTGTTTGGGTTTGGTTTTTTTTTTTTTTAATAAGCATCTAATCCTGTGCCAAATTCTGCTCTCAGTCACCTGAGGAATAATGTAACATACAAACCTGGTCGTAAGTTAACGGTGGCAAGTCATCCCCACAAACTGCTTTTTGTTCTGCATAGCACCGTTCCTGTATTGACTTGTCTCTGGCTATGAAGAAGCCAAGCCAGGCACTGGTGGTCGAGGATGTGTGCTGCCCCGCCAGCAGCAACCCAATAAGCATTCCCGCAACTTCATCGTCCGTCAGCGGACGCCCATCCCTAGGTTGAAGGGTGTTACATTAGAGCTTCATTTGATCGGGTTTCCAGTTACAGCAGTATTTACATATTCCTCTTATGTACTACTTCCTCCTCTTTCATTGCCTACTCTAAATGGAGCAGCTAAAGATCTAGGTGTAGGGAGAAGGGGGAACAGAAGGGGAAGAGACTCTAGGAGCCTTAAAAGAAAATCATTACTGAACAGCCAGCAAAGAGAAAGGAAGCAACCTTGTGACCACTGATGAAAATCTCAGAAATCTAAATAGCCACTTAGAAGTAGAGTTTTTAGGCTATTTTTAAGAATACGGCTAGTACCAATTGCTGGCAACAAAACCAGTTCAGAATCATGAGGGCATATATCTTATTTTTCGGTAGATACGTTTTAACTGAAGAGCTCAAAGCTGAAGTAAAACATCTATAAATGACAAGTCTTCCAACCCTTTACTTACTTGTATGAAGCATCAAGTAGAGTTTGGAGCATGTCATCTTCCTTTTCCTCAGACTTTCGACGCTTCTGGATAACCTTGTAGAAAATATTCTTTATTTCCTTGTGCGCTCGATCTCGACGTCTGTGATTCAAAACACTTCTATTAGCAACTTTATAAAAAAGTAACACATAAAATGCTGATGAGGATTTATTGAGACATCTAGAGTAGCTTACAAACAAGAAATGGGGTGGGGAGAATCCAAACAACAATGACATTTATATAAAATGCTGAAGTTGCTTCATCTGTTATTTCTGGTACCTGAAGCTTGGCAGAGGTAGCCAACCTGGCAGAAGCCAGGCAGCGTGAGTAAAACCCCCATCCAAATCAGCGTACAGCTGAGCAACCTTCTCGTTCAGTAAGCTTCTTATTTCTTTCCCATGTAAGCAATGACTTGCTGTCAAAATGATCAGTTCTGAAAGGGCTTCAAACAGGTCTGAGGAAAGAGGTGTAAATTGTTACTGAGGATACATTTCAGGCAAGATATTATGCTTTACAGCTTATTCTTTATTCTATAGAAAAGAAAAATACGTAACTGGACACATTAATAATTTTAAATAGTTTTAGACTGTTTTACAAGGAGAATGAAGCATCTAATTTTAAGTTTCTGGGTGTCTATCAGGTCTCTCTTCAACTTTTTAATTAGATCGCTGATTTCAATAACTTTTTTCTAAGTAATTTCTTCCGAGAAATTTTTCTAGGAGAGCTAGTAATCCTTCCAAAGTAAGCCATGCAGTAGAAGTTCAATCCTTAGTGAATATAAAAGAATTCATACAAATCCACACAAAACCAGATAAGTTTTGTTGCTTTCCGAATTATTTTTCTATAATAACATACATTTAAATATAAAATTATATATTATCATAACATTAAGCACAGTTTATAGAATAAAATTATGTGCTTATAAAATAATAAATTTATTAAAATACATTAGTATTATATTAAAATTATATATTTACATGTTTATATATACACGTTAAAATAAACAATATTTCTGACACTTATGCCATTGTGGGCTTGCAACAACGGCAATGGGCTATGTCTAGCAGGCTAGTTGGGAAAGATAGGTGAGGAATAAAAGAAGAATTCCACTTAGATCACTAATCTAACCCTATCCGCTTCAAGGATGCAGTTTTTCAGTGTAGAAAATCCCTGAGCTAAGATCTCTGACACAGGCTCTGGGAAGTCAGAGCAGTATCTTTTCCCAGGGACTAAGAAGTGCCCCATCCCTGGAAACATTCAAGGTCAGGCTGGACAGAGCTCACAGCAAGCTGATCTAGTTGAAGATGTCCCTGCTCATTGCAGGGGGGTTGGACTAGATGACCTTTAAAGGTCCCTTCCAACTCAAACTATTGTATGGTTCTAAGAGGTTACGCTGATCTGATTCATACTGTGCAAAAAAGCATGATTCGGCCAGGCAACAGGTACGCTCTCTATAAGCCAACTAAGAAAGCAATAGTAAGATAGTCCTTCACTCCTTTCCATGATTGTCTGAGCAGCTTTATTCCCCAATAGCCTTAAATGTGATTAAACAAAATCTGTATTTGGCATGTTTCTTCTGACGTTCAGTACAGTTTTACCTATGTCTTTTTTAATTTCTTTAACATTGCAGTACATCATTTACAAAAACATACTGCATTGGCCTTAATTCCTTCCCGGAAGATTGGAGGAAAAATGCATCTGATCTTGCTTACTTTTTTCTCCACTCTCTCCCCATGCTTTGAAATACTCCTTTGTTTCTTCTTCAATCACAGATACATGCTGTTTAAACTGGGCAATATTTAGCCCAGTTTTGAGCATCTTCTTCTGTTCCAAAAATACCTAGAGGAACCAAGACAGAAAAAGCAATCAGTACAAGGATCATCATATTAATGTAATTAACAACTTATTATCTATTGTTATATAGATATAACACTATAAGAACATACAGAAGTAAAAAGAGATTATGATTAGGACTGCAGGGTACAACAGATACTCAAATAATAAGCAAATATTCTGGTTTTCACCTTCTTTGTTTTCCTAGCAAGTTTAGTAACATCCAAGTAAAACCCTAGCTCAAGGGAACTACATTGCTCTCTTTTGCAGTACCAAAACAAAAATTAATTTTAGCATCTTCATTAAACTTTATCCCTGAAGATAGAAGAAGCATTCAAGATTGAAATATGGAATGCACTTTAGACACACAATGACAAACGTAATCAGACCTGTCCTTACAAAGCCTGGATCCGGTCTGTGTTCGCTGTTAGGTGGCCTCCTTGCTTTGTCTCCCCCAGAGCATCTGTCTTCCATCATGCACCAATACCTTACCTCTGGTCTAAAGATGCACCTTTCTTTTACAAGGGCCTCTGATCTCACTGCCCAGAAGTCAGACACAGAAGGAGGAAGCAAACTGCTTCCCAGGAAAATGGTAAGCTTCACGTCCTTCTCACCTCTTCCTCTTCTTAGTATAGACTCATAGCTAACCAACCTACTGGTAAAAAGCCCACTATGAGAGAACCGTTCAGTGGATTTACAGGACACCTACTCAGAAAATTATTCAATGAATTTTAAGCCCTAATTATGAATTAGGGCATCTGCCCTATAGATCTGCACCACACCATGAGCAACACACCAAAACTTATCTTCCCATGAAGGGCTCTGCTATACTTTAAAAGGCATAAGAAGGTTACTTCCTAGAAACTTCTCTTTTTTTAGAATGCAGTGGGGACTCCAGCAGCCTGTCAGAGGGTACACATGGCACAGAGCAGACAGACAAGCACATTTTCCCTTGCAGCATGCTAGCCCAACTCCAACTCCAGCTCCAGCTTGGTGCAGACAGGAATGGCACACAGGAGTGAACTCATCATCTGCCATTTCAGCTCTTCTTAACACAAAACTATCTGCAAGAGGCTTGGAGGGAGGAGACAGAGAGTGAATAATGAGTTGACATATAAACTATGCATATTAAAAATTACCAGAATTACAGGTAAAGAAGTAACTTCTTCCTTTTGAAGAGTAAGGGGTAGTTCTTTTAAACACATGACTAAAAGGCACCATCAGACTGATAAGAGAGTTTTAGCAGCTTGAGCAGAGAGAAGGGAGCCTCAAAAGTAAGTTCTGGATGATCCCTCAATGGTGGAATGCCACTGAAAGTTTGAACAGGTCTCTAAATACCTTCCCAGTAGATGCTATGGCTGTCATCTATCTGGACTTCTGTAAGGCCTTTGACATGGTCCCCACAACATCCTTCTCTCTAAATCGGAGAGAGATGGATTTGATGGGTGGACTGCTGGGTGGATGAAGAATTGGTTGGATGGCTGCATCCAGAGGGTAATGGTCAACAGCTCAGTGTCCAGATGGAGACTGGTGACAAGTGGTGTCCCTCAGCGGTCCATTCTGGGACCCGTACTCTTTAGTATCTTCATCAATGACATAGACAGTGGGATCGAGTGCACCCTCAGCAAGTTTGCAGGTGACACCAAGCTGAGTAGGGCAGTTGACAGGCCTGAAGGACAGGATGACATCCAGAGCGACCTGGACAAGCTCGACGAATGGGCCCATGTGAACCTCATGAGGTTCAACAAGGCCAAGTGCAGGGTCCTGCACCTGGGTCGGGACAACCCCCAGCATCAATACAGGCTGGGGGATGAAGGGACTGAGAGCAGCCCTGCCGAGAACGACTTGGGGGGACTGGTGGATGAAAAGCTGGACATCAGCCAGCAATGTGCGCTCGCAGCCCAGAAGGCCAACCACATCCTGGGCTGCATTCAAAGCAGCGTGGCTAGGAGGTCGAGGGAGGGGATTCTGCCCCTCTACTCTGCTCTGGTGAGACCCCACCTGGAGTCCTGTGTCCAGCTCCGGAGCCCTCGGCACAGGAAAGACCTGGACCTTTTGGAGAGGGTCCAGAGGAGGGCCACAAAAATGATCAGAGGGATGGAACACCTCTCCTGTGAGGACAGGCTGAGAGAGTTGGGGTTGTTCAGCCTGGAGAAGAGAAGGCTCCGGGGAGACTTTACTGCAGCCTTCCAGTACTTAGAGGAGGCTTTTAAGACGGGGACAGACTTTTTAGCAGGGCCTGCTGCGACAGGACAAGGGGTAATGGTTTTAAACTAAGAGGACAGATTTAGACTAGATCTAAGAAAGAAATTTTTGATGCTGAGGGTGGAGAAACACTGGCACAGGTTGCCCAGAGAAGTGGTAGCTGCCCCATCCCTGGAAACATTCCAGGTCAGGTTGGACAGGGCTCTGAGCAACCTGCTCTAGCTGAAGATGTCCCTGCTCATTGCAGTGAGGTTGGACTAAATGGCCTTTAAAGGTCCCCTTCTAACCCACGCGATTCTATAATTCTATGTCTGAAATGAAATTGTGGTGGTAGCACTATGTGAAAAACCAGCATTCTGTCCAAAACCAGACATGCTACCTCACTAGCTTCATATAGGGAAATGCACAACTAGAGGTAATCAGTGTACGTCAAGAACGAAGTCCCTGCACCTCCTAGCTGTGGGAGAAAAGCAGCCCAGGTGATTTTCTGAGGAACCCAAATTGGCACAGATAAAAAGGAAGAAGTCCTTCTAGTAACAAAGGTATGAATGAAGTAGACTTATCCACAGATGCCCGAGGCTTACTGAGTAATATGAAAAGATTAATCTCTTGACTAAAGCAGACAGGCTAGAGAAAAAACTAGGGTAACTCTAGAAAAAGACTCTATTTCAGAAAAAAAAACAGTATATGGTGGGCCAGTGAGGTAGGCCTTAATCATCCCTATATCCCTGAAGAACACAGTTGTACGAAATGCCCATTTCTAAGAAGCTTTTAGAAAGTTCTACAAAACTTCTGAAGGATGAGATTAGATCCCACTGAAGAACTAGCTCTTGACTGAAGACATTCAAATCCATCCATGAACTGTAGAGTGTGAAAGCAGAAGTCAAAACAGCTGTAACAACAAGTGGATGAACTTTCACAGAATTAAGAGACAAATCAGGACCTTCCATTTTCAAGCAGACATCCCATGACAGTCAGAATCCAAAGAACAAGCAGAACACAGTGAAAATCTGTCCAACTTAGCAGGCTCTGTCTGATTCATAGACACTTTTCTGAAACTACTCTATACTAGAGAAGAACATGAAAGATGTATTGCAGAGAATCATATACCCTCTACACTCTATCAGCCCCAAAAGGGATCCCCGATTCCATCCCTGACTTTTTGAGGAAGGCCTCCAACTGTTGGAACTGGTAGGAAAAAGTCTGTTAGAAAGGCCCCATTTGTGGAAGAGGTCTCCTAGCACACAAGAAACGGCCTCTTACTTGCTATCCAGGCTGCAGTCCTGCCGGTATCATTCACAAAGGGATGTGAGGAGCTACACAAATCTGTCAAGTGCAAAAAAACCCAGCACCCAAACAACTAAACAATCCTCCTCCCAACTTTGTGACGCCGTCTATCCACAATTTAACACCTCCCGACAAAGCAGGAAACAACTAAGTTCTTTACTTATTTACAAAGTGGCAAGCTGTTGGTAGTCAGTTGTATATGAGATTTCCAAAAGAATGGGGTAAGAACAACGTACATACTTTGTGGATCACTGCAAAATGCCAGTGTAGAGGAAAAGAGACTAGTGATTACTGCCCCACATAACTAAGAGGGCAACAACCACTGCAAGTACTTTTGGCAGGGGAGAATGAAAAGCCATGGTAAGGAGGAAAACTCCTGATGGCCACAGAAGCTATGACCAGTCAAATGATTGGTATCTATACAAACAAAATTAAGCCACTACTGAAAATTCAAAAATAAAGTATATGACAATGCTGTTTCTGCCACCAGACTACTCTGTTGTACAAAGGCTGCCAGTCTCAACACGCACTGAACACAGAGTCCCAGTGGAGCAGGTGTGACCACAGAAAAGTTGGCTTCTGCAGTTTAAGAGTCTATTATGACAAAGAACATGCACAAACAAGAAATAAGCCAACACCTAGCTCAGAACCAATGCCACAGCTTCTGCACTTCCAGACTCATGCAGACTGTATTTTGCAAATATATACAGATTGATTTTTGTCCGAGCAAGAAAAACCTTGTGGTGGAAACTATCAAATTAATACTCCCGTTATCTAGATTTGGCATGGCATAAATGAAAAATTATCTCTCTTAAAGCTCTCTCAGAAGGAAGACCTAAAGTTGCTTGTAAAGGAAAAGTAAACTGCAGTCAGTGGCATGCTGTTAAGTGAACAAAAAAGGGACTCACTTCTTAGTTTTTCCTCTGTGGTGGGATTGGATGGTTTCAAGAAAAATAACTAGCATCCAGACTGACAAATGGCCAGGTGGTAAATAAAGCAGCCTAAACATGCTCAGTCTTCACCATCCAACTGAGACAATTTACCAACTGCATTACGCCTCGCTGCCAGAATCGCATATGAATGCAGAACCCCATCACACAGAGCCAAGAGCACAGGGCTGCCTACTCAGAATTTAAATTATGCTACTTTTCTACTCATCTTATATTTAAAATACATACTGTATTAGGAACATCATAAGCAACTCCCTTGCCAAAAACTGGTGTAGTTAACCGAGAGTATACATCCTCTGCATTCAAATCTTCATTTTTACTATTGAAGAGTAGAGCAGCAGCATCGCTACCCAGTAAGTATGTGAAGGTCTTGCCAACCATAGTGAAACTGAATACAGGTCCATACTAAGAGAGAAAAAAAAAAAGGTTTATTTTAAATAAGAAGAACATAAATCATTAAATCCGTATCTCTTTATGTACAGTCTTCCATAGATCACTTACTCTCCTAAGAAATGTCTAGAGACTTAATAAAGATACAAATATTTTAAACGAATTTAAATTCTGTTCTCAAAATACTTACTGATATCTAATGTTATAATGAACATACATGATCTTGCACATTTTAAAACCATTTAGTTTTAAATATGTAAATAAAAGACAAGTTGCAGTACGAGAACTCGCAGGGAGATACTGCACATACAGCTTTCAGTAATCTACAAACACTGTCTACAAAATTGTGGATTTGGAGTTATGCATAAGTAATTAAGAGCAGACAAGCTTTTAAAGTTTAAAGGGCATCTCCAGCAGATCTTCACATACTAAATTTGGCTTTCTTTAAGCTAACCAAGCTAAGATTTAAGCTTTTGTTTTAGACAACGTGAAACAGATCAATAAATCTTATTTGATTGGAATTAAGGCTCTACTGCCTTAGTCCATTTCTTTTGGGCTGTTATAGTATAAAACCTACTGAGGTTTTATACACCAGCCCTTTTAACATTGGAGAGGGCCTTCGAATTCATCAAATTGTCTACAGAGGTGGTGAGCTACATTCCCACCAGGACACAGATTAGTGAAGAGTGAGAACAGAAGTTCCCCATTAAGGGAAGAAAGAGCATCATGAAAATGGCTTTATAATTAACTTGTGATTCAACTATGAGCATTATCCAAATACCTCTTGTGATTCAGATTTAAAAAAATATGTCCGTATATCTCAGAAAAAAATATTTCTCTTTGTACATAGCAATGTATGTAGCAAGAGCTAAGAAACCAGAGCCTGCCCTGCACACTCCATTCCAGATTCGAGGTGGTAAACAACAACGAACTGCTTTTAAACAGGCTCCAGATAGAGAACTTAATGGATACAGAAAAATATTTTAGCATATTCTCAGCTAGTCATGGGTGAAAACATACCTTGTCATAAGCTTTTTCCAAAAATTCAATGGGACTTTTTCCAAATGAGATTGCATGTCCAAGGAAAGGGATGCTTGAAGAAATATAAGGTGGGTATTTCTGAGAAAGAAAAAAATAAATGTTGAATTATCTTCAGAGAGTAACAAGATCACGGCCATTTACATAAAACTAAACTTAGAAGAGGCTTTAGACATATTTTCTCTAAACTTTTTTGTGAAAAGGCCAACCTTGGACAAATGATTATTTTTTGAAATAGAGTAACAGCCACATTTAAAAGCAGCAGAGGTTAAAATAAAGTGAACACGATTAAGAATCTTGCTGACACTGCAACTAGAAAGAAGGCAGCCACAAACAAAACAGTGCTGACGATTTGCTAAGCAGACCCCCAAAAGCATCAGCTCAGTTTAGCAACGAGTTTCGTACGTACGTGGGAGACTTCTTTTCAGCTGCACTGATGAAACAGCACCGGGCAGGGCCTTTGCCGCTACAAAACCTAAGCGCCTCTGCTCCTGTGTTACCAGGAGGCGGGGCGAAGGGACAAGACACCGTCCCCGGGGAGGTGCTGGGAACGCTCCTCGCTCGCCAGGTTCTACCGCTCACCTCCCCGCGCTCCCCAAGGGCTCTCCGGCGGTGAGTGCGCCGCTGCTCCCCTCACCCGTCCCTCCGCACCCTGAAGGGAGACCGCC